TATTTATCCAATTCAGCTTTAGGTTGTCAGGATTCTTCCCAAAAGGTGGCAGGGTTAGCTTTCACTGCCAATAACTTTAGACAAATGAAATTGTTGTAGAATTTTCATAGATTAGACAATCCAGTGCCCGGATCTACCTAGCAATTAACAGAAGTCAGCATGGCTGAGTATTAGTCAGGCTAATCTTATCTCCTCTGTTGATCAGCCACCTTTCTTAATAGATTGTTAATGCTGCAGACACACTACATTATGTCTTCACCAAAGCATTTGACAAAGTGCCCTATGACATGCTTATTAGCAAGCCAATTAAGTGTGGGTGGGAGGCATGCAAGCGCGCGGACACAACCGGCTTAAAAACTGTGCTCATCTAGGGCTCCTCATGAAACCAAAGAGGGATATCAAGGCTGTCACAAAACTCACTTATGGCCTACTCGCTCTTCCGTGTATTTTTTAATCTTGGCTGAAAAGGCGGAAAGAAGAATTATGAGGTTTAAGAAGACACCGAGTCTAGATAATACAGCTAATGCCTAAGAAGACAGAAAGGGGAAAACAAAAATCAAATGAGGTAAGAGAACTGGATTGAAATTAACAGAATAATATTTAACTTCTGTGTTAAATTGTCTGCAACTTTCCTTTGGCTCTCAATCTGACAACCACATCTTTAATTTTTTGATTGAGCAGGGAGTTGGCTTTGGGACTGATGAATTATTGAGGTAGTAGGTGTGGCAGAATATGGAAGACAACTTCAGGTGTGGATGGCAACATGTTTCCTACTACTACTGCTAAACTACCATCTGGAAATATAGATTTTTTTTCTAACTTTGGTTAATGTTCCATTGGTGGAGACAAGACCACAAAGGAGAAAAAGAAAGAATCTTAATGAGTATAAAAATTCAAATCAGACATCCCTTCCACCAAATGTATAAAAATATTTGTGTTTCAGTATTTATGACAGCCTAGAAATATCGAAGAATAAAAGGAGCGATGAATAGTTTTGGCTTTTGCTGAAAATGGCCTCCTATGGATGGAACGGGGTGATATTCTCTCTAGCTTCTCTTAATTTCTCTTACACATCTACTCTGTCCTTTTGTTTCTTCCAACCTCGTTATGCCAAAGCCACAACTCTCTAAGGCAGAGTGACTGTGAAAAGACAAAAAGTTGATCTGGAACTTTGATTTCAAAGATAAATAAAATGAACCTCGATTTCTTGCTTTGTTGAAGTTTTAATTCGAAGGGCGCAGATATTGAGTTCATCTGTTTTTAAGTGCAGAGATAACCTGACTTTGGATGGTCAGGATGCGCCTTGATTTCAAGGACGTGCGCATACTTTCTCTCCCTTGTTAAAGGTAAAGGTTCCCTTGCACATGCGTGATAGTTGTCTCTGGCTCTAGAGGGCATTGCTCATCTCCATTCTAAGCCAAAGAGCCAGCACTGTCTCTGTGATCATGTAGCCGACATGACTAAATGCTGAAGGCACATGGAATGCTGTTACCCTCCCACCAAAGTGGTCCCTATTTTTTCTACTTACATTTTTTACGTGCTTTCGAACTGCTAGGTTGGCAGAAGATGGGACAAGTAACGGGAACTCACTCCGTTATGCGGCAATAAGGATTCGAACCACCGAACTTCTGACCTGATCGACAAGCTCAGTGTCTTAGCCACGGAGCCACCGTGTCCCTTCTCCCTTGTTAAAGCTCCTCAAATTCCCTTGGGGTTTTTTTGGGGGGGAGGAGGGGAACTGGTGT